TGTGTGTGTGTGTGTGTGTGTGTGTGTGTGTGTGTGTGTGTGTGTGTATATATATAACTGAAAACTAGAAACAAACTGGGCCAAAGTAGAAGAACAACCCTCAGTGGGCAATTTCCCCTCTACTTTAGTTCCCTCTCGTCTACCTGAGCTTTATTTTACAGTCTCCTGTAATTGACCTCCTTTACTATGGGACCATTAAGCAGTCTTTTAGTTTTTGTGTTTGTTTCCATGTACATTGTACATGTACAACAGATCTGCACATACACACACTCGCACACACCTGACTCGCTCTCTGTTTTGATTTCAAACAGAAATCTCTTGCTGCCCAATAGTTAAAGCGTTAGCATGCACCGCTCTAGACCTGGAGGCTGCGGTGAGTCAGTACCACTCATCTATATCCTTTAATGTAATACTCCCCAGCATGTTGGTGTCTGAATGTGTATTCTCATTGCCCCAAGCATTCATTCACTCAGCATTGACACAGAAGGGATTTTTAAGACTTGAAATTCAGCTTGGTATGGACATATATTTGGTTTATTGTTTTGATCAACAAAACACACACGTTTGCTTCTGTGAGTAAAGCGTGACAGGTCTATCTCTACAGAAGGTGCAGTGGTGAAGGCTCAGCTTTCTGGAACAACGTACATCACCTCTGGACTTGGATTGAATTCCTCCAGATGCTTCCATGATGTGTCTGATCCATTTTGTCTTCTTATCGGCCTTCTCACCATCTCAGAAAATATCAAATATCTATAATATCTGTCGTTTTAAATTCTCAAAAAAAAAACTTTTGCAACAAAGATACATTTTCAGTGTGATGATCTTCTTTGTTATATTGTTTCTGCCTCTTTGTCTGATACACGTGTCTCTGTTTGAATTAGAGTAATGGAACACATTCATATACACATAGCCATCTCCATACACATCTCCCCCAACGTTAAACTCTCCCCTCTTCACCCACAACAAGGTGCTTTAGACTGCTGGCCAGACGAGGCCGGCTGCCTGCCCACAGACCTCCCTTTCAGCCCCAGCGTTTCCACGGTGATCAGTCGCCACGCTGGCCATCTCGCCGTTAGCCCCGACGACCCACCCGAAAGTTGGCCTATCAGAGAGAGCACTGCCTATGCTGGGGGCGACGAAAGGGAGGGAGAAGGTTCAGACCGAAAACAGAAGAAGAAGAAGAAAAGGCGACAGAAAGATGAGGGATCTTATGAGCCCCTCGAGAGCAGGGCTCACCCTGAGGTGCAAACGCAGGGAGAAAACACTCCCCCAACAGAGGAGTTCTACAACCGGATTGGCCCAAGGCGGGATAGAGGAGACGGTGGCTGGGAGGAGCAACTTGGGAAGAGTGGAGGCCGGGGGAAGAAGGGTAAGAGCAGGAAGAAGCTTCCGGAGGAGTGGGGAGTGACGGCAGAACCGTCTGTCCCTTCGGCTGCAGCGACCTCTCAAATTACAGAGGAGGTGATGATGGATGTAGGGAGTTCTGTTCAGGCAAATACGGAGGCCTCGTTTGCGGACAAGGATGCCAGCCAAAGTTTCTGGAAAAAGGATGTATTCCCCGAAGAAGGCCTGGTCCCTTCCCCCCTGTCTCAGGACATATTCTCACCAGCAGTTGCTTCCATGAACCCACTGGTGCTGAACAGCGAGCTGAAAGCCACAGCGGCTCCGTTCACCATGCCCTCCGCCACCAACAGTGCAACACTAGGCTCCCTCCCCATGGCTCCTCGCCCTGGTGATCCATTCGACCTCCTGATGGATACTGAAAATGCAAGCTCAGGCAACAGCAGCCAGGTCTTTTCACCCGGTGGTGACATGGTTGAAAGTTCCCTCCAAGAGCCTTGTGTGCGTGGCACGCCTGAGGGAGACACCTCTGCTTTCAGCCCCGCCTCCCAGCCAAGCCCACGCCTTTCCCCGAAAGGCGAGGTGTTAGCCTCGGCCCCACCTCTCTCACCCTCAGATGCTTCATGGCTCCTGAACGACTCCAACATGAGCAGCAACAGCGAGCTATTTGACTTCAGTGAGGTGAGCGCTTCAGATCATCCTTCAACCTTGGGGCTGTCCTTTGACACTCCTAGCCCAGCCCCTCTCCGCTCCCCCAAAACCACAGCGCAGGAATTCCAACCTAAAGAGCATAAAGATGCCAAATCGGCCCAGAAGCAACCCAAGAAGTCTCGTTCTTCATCCTCCTCCTCTGTAAAGAGTCCCACCTCCCCAGGGACAAAGAATTTCCCTCGACAAGCATCCCCAGCCACCAGCCCCTCCTCCCCTCCACCAGTAAGCCCAGGATCTGGTCTTAACCCTACAGCTAAGCCCTTCTTTCCCAGCTTTGCTGATTCCATGGAAGAACCAGCTGTGGTCCCTCCAGTTGCCCCCATCATCGAAGGTTGGTTGCAGTCAGCCCGGGACAAAATAGAAGTTAATCATATAGTAACTAAAGAATAATCACGAATGGTTTATTATCATGCATGGTGCTTTCATCCAGTTAGAGTCTTGCAGATAATTGCAACCTAATTCAAATGCCATTTTGGGCAAAATCGATTGCTTGGGTGTCTTGTACTCATTCGGGGTTAGATGAATTATCAAACGCTTGCATGGACACATTTGTCTATAAACATGGCTGGGGCTCTTTGGCTTGTCGAATTTGGACTGTTTCTGAGTGACTAACGCATGGGCTCAAGTGTTGACCAATTGAGGCTGTGGATTGGCTTGACTCTAATCTGTGAGTATCTCAATTCCAAATGATGCACTGCTGGGATGTTCTCATAATTAACAGTGTTGCTGTTGACGGGTGTGCTACTACTAACCAATCACGGAGTCTTTCTCCTTAGCGACACCCTCAACAAATCCAAACCAACCTTCTCTTTCTCTCTCCTGTGCAGGTGATGTGTTAACACTGTAATCATGCTCTGTTTCCTTAGCACACAGGGGGGAGGTGTCACTCTATGTTCTCTCTCGTGTGTCCAATTAACGCCGTTTTCCTCACTAGCTGCCTGTTTCTTAACAACTTCTCCCAGAAAAGGATGTTGAAGGAAAAGGTTTTGTTTTGTGTCACGTTAACACTCCCTCTGTTGTCACGCATCAACAGTTCACATTCTGTTGTGTCTCCTAAGTAGACATAACCTTTCAAATACATCAAATGCTAATTGTTGTTTTTGTCGATTTTACTTCCATGTTCTGTGATGACTGCTACCTTGGCTCCTCCTCCATCACAGGTGAGTCCTATTTTAATTCCTTGTGGCTTTGTTGTATTTTTGTTATCCATCATTGTTAATCCCAGTTGTCACTGGGATGATTATAGAATGATGCAGACAGATGAGTTCAAAATTCCTCTTTCTGAATTTCATGGTTAGTATTTGAAAGCTCAGGAGACATCTGAAGAGTGTCTTTTTGGTGACGTTAGGATGGAATCTCTGGCTTCATCGAGCCATAAGGTGCGATGTGCACGTGAGCAGGTTGCTCCACAGCTGTTGTGAGACTTTGTTTTCCAACCCGTACCTATGATTATGAGCTTTAGGTGATGAAGAAGAAAAGTCAATTGACCCTTTGCTAAGTCATAGCGTAGCAATGGCCAGTCCCGAACACAACCTTTTTTAAGTTGTGTTTTGGGGCATATGACAAGGATAAAGTTTGTTACGGGCCCTGGGGCAAACAGGCTGGAGGAATGAAATATCCCATCTGGCCTGGGGATGCCTTTGGGAGAGGGAGGAGCTAGGAGAAGGATATCTTGGCCAACTTGCTAGTTGTGTAGCAGTGTGACTCATTAAGAAGAGGTTTCGGCAGACTGGGGAATAATAACGTTTATGCCGCAGATAAGCGGTTAAAAATAGAACAGTTTGACTAAAATCAGTGTTAAAAGATTGAAGAGAGAGTCAAAAGGGAGCTGTTGATCAACGTCATGTCCAGCTCTTGTTTTAGCGTCGAATGAATTTGTTGCACTGTTACTCGTTTCGGAGAGTTTTCTGCAGACTGGGAAATAATAAGTTTACAGGAAACCGAAAATAGAATAGATTGACACTTTGTGCTTAAGTGTGTGGGCAGACGTGTGGATGTGAGCTGTATATGTTGAGTGTAAGTGTAAGTGCATTTCGGTGTTGTGCATTTGTGTGTATCCATGAGTGTGTGTGTGTGTGTGTGTGTGTGTGTGTGTGTTGCTGGGATTTATGGAGATGCAGAGTTCCAGTGGAATCATTTCCTCTCAACACTTCCTGTCTCTTCCTCGCGTTGGAGGCTGTGACGAGGACTGAGCAAGCCTGCAGCTCTCCACAGGAACAGCAGAGTGTCAAACATTACCATTCGGCAGCTTTGATCAATACCTTCCGCAAGAACAGGAAGGGCTCGCATTTAGTGGTTTTTTCCACTTCCATGTCGCATGGATGAAAATATATTGCAGCTTTGTGGATGTAAAGTAAATGTCCTTTATGCGCACATTGTTTTTTGTCTGGATTTTGGGTTACGTGTGTGTGTGTGTGTGTGTGTGTGTGTGAGTGTGCTGGCGCTTGCGTGAGTGTGCGCACGCTTGTAAAAACGTGTGTACACACGAGAGAAAGAGAGCACGACAGAGTGCAGCTGTCTCTGTCTTGGCCTCTGTGTAATGAGACCAGGGGTGGGTCTCTGTCACCAAGAGTGGTATTTAAGCCTTGTACAAAAGATAAGAAGCCACGTGGAGCACAGTAAAGAGCAACGCTTTGGAGGGTCACAGACAGGGGAGTACAGTACAGCGAGGAAGAGGGGGGTGCACATAGAAAGAAAAGGCTAAATCCATAATAAATTGGAGTTGGAAACAAAGAAAGGCTTTGGGATACTTCTGAAACATATTGTCTGTGTACCACAGGTAGAGAGAGGGATAAAGGGTGAGGAGAGGAGGAAGACTTGAGGTGGATAAAGGAATATGAAGAGTTGAAAAGAATGCTGACAGGGAACGGATAAGGATTATTTATAAACCCTTCTTGTAATGGCAGAGAGATATACAGGAGTCAAAGCGAGAGGGAGAAGCCCGGATAGAGATAGAGAACGATGTAAACCTGAGGGAGGGGGATGTTTCAAACACTGAGGGAAAAGATAGAGGGAGGTTCAGAGAAGTACTGAGCCTCTAGAGCAGGGGTGTCAAACTCATCTTCACTCCGGGCCACATCAGCATCACGGTTTCCCTCAAAGGGCCGGTTGTAAATGTAAGATGGTGTAAATGTAACTTCTCCTAACATATTGGTAAATAACTGTCTCTACATTTGATTATTGTTTATTCAAATATAATAATATTGTACATGCAGTTATATAAATGTACCAACACTGCTCCTTCTCTCTCAGACTGAGCTAAATCACAGGTGCCAGCCGGTATAAAGACCACAAATATACCTCCTCTGTGGACCTGCCTCCCTGCTCAGACACACATACAGTACACATCTGAGTCATCCAACTATTTGAGGACAAACACAAATCCTCAAGAGGCAGGCATGCGTGAATATACTGTATCAGCGGTCTATTTGAACCACATAGTGCTTTTCACTGTTGTTTGGGCTCATTTCATTGGGGAGCAGGCTGTTAGATGGTAGCCCAGAAGGGACATTTGCACAGTATGGCCCCATCACTCAACTGGGGTGAACTAATGGCTTTAGACGGCGTTGGGGGAAGTGTTGGGTTTTCGCCTCGTTGGCGCCATTGGAAAGTACGACAGCTAACTGTGGGACAAGACCATGAGTCACTCTGTTTTCAGAAGGTGCACCATGCTTCAGCAACAGATTGAACCCATAGAGAGATGGCTCCGGGCCAGCAGTGTGGGCTGTGCTTAACGCTTCATACATTTTGATATTAACCTTTTAAAAAGGCAGTTGTAGTTCGCAACATTCTCTGAGTTTGAAATTTGTCTTCTGCATGGAAAACTGCTCTGAATGTGCAGCACACATGTTGTATTCATGCTGATTTTGTGAGATTTATTGTGAGTATGTCGGCTTTTAGGTTTTTAGGAAATAGTCATTACCCGTTTCATGCTTCAACAGTACTTGAATAACTCCATAAGAGTATATTCCTGTTTCCAATAATAACCCTTTTAACTTCTAGGAATCAATTGCAATCCTGCTGGTTGAAGCAGCACCCAAACCATCTTATTACTGTTGTGCGAATTAGCCAAAGATGATCTTTCTTGATTGTTTTCTTCCACCCTGTTCAGACTTCCAGAACCACAGAGCACGTCGTGAAACTGTTGTGACAGGCTGGATACCAACCCCCATCACTGTTAAACAAAACTTTAGGAGTTGAATTTGGTGGAGTTGCCCTTAAATGTATTATTCTACTACACTCTATTGCAGTCATCCCATCTGACAATTGTGATAAGAGGCCCCTTTGCCAGAAGTTTACTCCAAACTAAACAAGACTTTGCAAGCACTCAATACCATCTATATAGTCTATACACATATAATTAATCTCCTTTGTGCTCTTCTGAAGCTTTTTCTCCTAAAAAGAAGTTGACCTGATTTCCAATTTAGTATAGGGACTTGATGTTATGAGCTTTGCTTAGGCAGCAGGTTACAGAAGGAAACAAACAAATGCAGATTCTTCATTACAGAAGGGCCAATGTTGGAACCTATCGGCTGTCGTGGTTTAGCCTCTGGGGACAACGACCAATGTTTCTGGGGATCTGGTGGAGCCAACAGATATCAGGATCAAGATTTCCTCTTTCGTGCGCCGGTCATTGTTTACGGTCCTATTAGCAACTCCAGACGCGAGAATTGGAGTTGAGCTTTGTTTCACAAGTAGCCAGTTTACACTCATTTAACAGTTTATTTTGTATCTTACAGGAGCACAAGCTCTTCGTTTTGCTTCGCCTCTTTTTGTGCTCCACACGGACTGTTTACTGTTTATGCAACCAAAGCCCGCTCAAAGGTGATTGGTCAATACTACTCGGACTACAAGCGGAAAACAGAACGCCTCCGATACCCAAATCTTGTGCCGATATCTCTTTATAGAGACCACAGAGGGGCACACTGAAAAAAACAACAGCGTTGGATGTTCAGAGATTTAAAACAATGCACGGGTGTGAAATGAATAATAATTATTGTCTCTCAGATGGGTGGAAAAGCAAGATGTTGTTACGCCACCGCAGAACAAAGTATCTTTCCCCGAGGCAACTCGCATCACGAACGCTTCACCAGAAGCTTTTACTGCTCAGACAGATGATCAGAGCAGGCAGCGCTGTGCACCGCTCGCCCTTTATGCCTCAGCAGCTGATGGAGCGTCTGATAGAACTGTGCCAGAAGAAAAAGCTCTGATTGGAGGGAAACACACATACACACACATACACACACACACACACACA